TAAATTGGCCAGCATTATAACTAATGCTGGCTAACTTTGTCGGTATTATGTCTTTTTCGGGAATCTGTCTTTCGGAATTTTAGGGTAGAACCGAAAACGGTATATAGTTTGTATTTGTGAATAATTCATATTTATTTTGCATAATAATTGGGATCAAACGAAAGGTCGATTTACTCTCGGTTGATATTTTTATAAGTCTACAACTTATCAAGAAAACAAAATTATAAACCTTTATGACAATGATAGTCAAAGAGATTTTAATGATGATAATACTGATTTTTCTGAAATATTCAAGATAGCTCAGAGGAGACTATTACTAGCATTTTAAGTTTATATAATGAGGTAATCTATAGCATGCATCATATTATTAATATTAAAGTTAGATCTTGAATGAATAGGAAATATTATTTTGCAAGGACAAGTCGAGTATTCTAGAAAACTTGGAAAATCGTTTGGCTACTACATACAAGGTTTGATAGATAATTTCCGTACACGAAAGAACTTTACAATACGCTCTGATCAAATAAGAAAAGGTAATACAGTTTTAAATTAGGTAATTATAAATTATTGATTTATAATATTAACTAGGTTGAAGTTAATATCCAAAAACAATTGAAGAAGGATGGGAAGTATCTAGAGCTAAAAAAAAACTTGTAAAACGTTAGAAACGAACTCCTATATAATGTGTAGATAACTTGTGCGCCTCTGTGAGTTTTTTTTGAGATTTTATGAGTCAATTGTAAACCATTTTGATGAAACGTCGGATATCGATCATGAAATGCTTATTACGGTATTCAAATATGCAAAATCAACCACTGCTAGCATAACGAATAAGTTTCTTGATACTGACAACGAAAGAACAGAGTAAGCCTCTCTTTAGTGACTTCTCTTATAACGTGATGCTGAATTAATTTGGTGTCAGAGAACAATTACAAATTTGTAAGTTTTTATATACGTACCTTATATATTCATATATGGGGGGGAGTCAATAGAATCCAGGCAAATTGTTTCTATGTAAATTTTTTTAGACTTTAAATTAAAATGTCTCAACAATTATTAAATCAAACTTGATAGAAATTTTTTTATTTTAATTCTATTTAGTTATAGAATTAAAATAAAAAATTTTCATCAAGTTTAGTCTAATAGTTGTTAAGATATTTTAATTTAAAGTTTTAAAAAAAAACTTACTAAAAATAATTTGCCTGGATTCTATTGACTTCCCCCCATATGTTAAGCGGTTATGTTATATGTTTTGTTTCAATATCCATGCTAGGATTTATCAGTTTTTACGCAACAGAAGCTCTCTATTTAATTATGAGGCCTCTAAACATTGCTATCGTTCAGAAATTGTAAATCTTTGCCTGCGGAAAAATTTGAAAATGATTGAATGTTTTATATGGCTTGAAAGTGGGGAAATTGCGAATGAAATACAAAAGATGCAACGAAATGATACTAAGAAGGTTAAAACTCGGAATGAAACATGATGGTGTAATTAACTTAATAGTACGCGGCAAAAAATATTAGATCGGTTTTATTGAAGTAGTGCTAGCCGAGGCACTTTATAAAAAGCACTAATTTATTCCATTTATGCATCATAAATAACGGTTTAGATAGTGAAGACGGAAAAGTACTAGTAGCGGTGCTTGATAGTAGGAAAAATGCCTTTAATAATGACATAATAGATAGAAATATTGATTTAGAGAAATTATATAAGGTACGTGTTATTATCATCTACTATTTAATTCAAACAAATGCTTACCAGACAATCACAGCCATGTCATTGTTATTGTGGAATTGCAGTGTTGGCCCATGACAAGGTCATAACAGGTCATATTACTAGGGTTTTTATTATACCGGTATAATAGAAATGGTAGTATAATACCAGGTATAATACCGTAAAATACTGTATAATACGGTATTACCGATATTTTGCTTCTATATAGTTTAATATGGTTCGGAATCTTTCGGAAATTTCT